CTAAGCCAGAAGTAGGTAAGAAGTAGGTAAGAAGAGATTATATCATCTCCTAATCAACAACAGAAAAGGCTGGAATGTTAGGTCTCCAAACCAGGACCAAGGGCTAAGTGAGGTACCTATTAACATACCAGTGCTAAAGCTGGCTGTCAGGTCTCAGCATCCTTCAGTGTCCACCTTTGGAGGGTCCTCCTGGCTGACTTTTCTGTCTCCTATCCCAAACTTCTCCAGCCCAGGTACTAGACTGGGCCTTCCTTTCCCCCAGCTTCTCTAAATCTCTATATAATCCAGCCATTTTGGTTACACAGTCCTTTATGGTCTCTTGGCCTGTTTGCCTCCTGGCCTCCCCTTCCCCTATTCTTTACATGGCCCAGCTCAGTCTGCTAGTCATTTCTACTTTGGATTCTTTCAGATGCCTCTGGGTGTTTCTCTCTCATATCTTCAGTAAGCCTTCGCCTCCATTATAGGGAAAAAAATAAAAAAGAACGAAAGAAGCAATAAAGCAGAACAAAATTGACATATGAGGAAACTGAAGACTTCCCCCTTTTCCCATTCCCTGTCTCAAAATGAAAGACCTCTTTGTGAGCTTGGTCTGCATAGCCAGTCTGCCTCTCACCAGCATGGGGTTCCTAGGGTCTGCCACGCCCCATCTAGCGCCCTATCGTTTGAACGACACTACACTTAATAGTAGATTATACATTACTATCATGCATACATAGGTCATTTATAAATAAACCACATTCCAAGTTAGAAAACCTATATTTAAGTTGACCCCTCCACCTATTCAAAATACAACACACAGAGACGTGTAAACTGTAAGTCAGAAAACAAGACTCAAGACCAACTAAATTTCAAAGAACGTGCTAGAGCTGCTTCCACAAGACCTCAGCTTGACTCCCAGCACTCACACGGCAGCTCACAACGGTCTGTAACCTCTTCTGGGCTCCATGAGCACTGCATCGTTTTTTGGTAATTTAGAAGATCAACAAAGTTGGTAAAACCCCAACTAGATTAGTAATAAAAGAGAAGGCATATCAACAATCAAAAGTGAAAGGGAGGCTGTCACTAAGAGTCCTACCATATTAAAGGACAGCAAGTGACTCTTAGGCACATTTTGCTGACAAGTTAGATGACGTAGATGCATAGATAAATACCTGGCAAGTCAAAGTTCAAATCTCATTCCAAGGTAAATAAATAACCCAAATAGTCATTTATCTACTAAACAGATAAACCTATAGTCATAAACCTTCCTACAAAGAAAAGTAAAGCTCAGATGGTATCAATAATGAAACTATCATTGAAATAAAAGGTCACACAATATAAAAGCCTTTTAAATATTTACTGAGACCAATATTAAGTTGATAAAAGAAGAAGGTAATGATAAAAAAATTATATAACACCATCCTTTATGGACAGAGATATAAGCACTCAACAAAAATCAGGTAAACCAAACCCAGAAACACATAACAAGGATAATACATCAAGACAAGTGTTTTGCATGAGATTTGTAATGTATTTTATTAATAGAATAAAGGGACAAAATTACACTGTTAATTCAATTGTTTAAGAAAAGATTATTTAAAAGTCCCAGTAAATTGGGAATATATGAAAATTTGTTCATTTGGCAAAGGCCATCTATGAAAAACTGTAAAGTAGCATCATAACACTACAAACCTTACAGCTATTACTACACTAAAAATGATAAAAATAAATCTTTTAGGTCAGGAATCAGTTAGTGGAGCACAGTTCTATTCAGTCCATGATTCGTGGTCATAGCCAGAGAACCAGGATATGGGGAAAAGCATAATTACCAAAAAGGAAGAAATAAAACTCTCGGTTTAAATAACTAATAGAAACCTTCATAGCTGGGTGAGGCTTCTACGTAGGACAGTAGGAAAGAGGGGTAACAGAAAGCATCTTGGGGACAGCCAGCGTATCAAAGATAGGCATGGACAAATAATTACCAAAGGAAACAAAAGGAGATCATGCTATATTCCATATGCTCTCTACAAACTAAGGAAGTCTGTTATACATTTTTAAAAGGATTTTCCTAAAATAACTATGATTATAAAAATATCAGAGCCTCAACAATCTGGAATATTCTCTTAGAGAACATCAAACCCACACAAAAGAGATGGGAAGCACTGCCATATATAAATCCAGCAACACAGTCACTATCTGCACGATGAGACAAACTCACTAAAATAGATCAGAATAATCGTGCCAAAGTGACTTAATGCCACTTATCCCTGTGCTTATTAGAATGCAATGACTCTGTGTTTATTAAAAAAATTAAAAGTGCTTTAATCCAGCACTTGGGAGGCAGAGGCAGGCAGATCTCTGAGTTTGAGGCCAGCCTGGTCTACAGAATAAGTGCCAGGACAGGCTCCAAAGCTACACAAAGAAGGCGTGTCTCTAAAAAAAAAAAAACAAAATGTTAGATAGCTCTCAGGAGAAGACACAGGACGATGTGCAGCAAAGAAATGACGATCATCTCTTCCCTGATGGCATCCAAGAATTGCAGAACCTTTAGGTTTGTCATTCTGGTCCAATCTTACAGAATGATAGTCTTAAAAATGATAGTTTCTAAAAACTTTTACTAAAAACAATTGCTTTACTATGGCAGCTTCCATAATATTTAGTAATGAGATAAACACCATGGGAACAGGAGGACAGAATAATATGCAGGTGTCTCCTCTCATTCTCAACATATCGGATCTCTGCACACATGGATCTATGTCAGTACACTGCTCCTGTTTGGCCTCAAGAACCTATGAACTATGTGTGTTTTCTATGTTTCCCCTTTCCTGTAAGACTTGTGACACATTTCCCCAATGTTCTTTCTTCCTTCAACTCCTCTTTGAATGCATTTGTCCTGGTGTCTATTTGTAGACCTTCATCTCTTCATTATTATTATTATTATTATTATTTTTTTTTGGTTTTTGGAGACAGGGTTTCTCTGTGGCTTTGGAGCCTGTCCTGGAACTAGCTCTGTAGACCAGGCTGGTCTCGAACTCACAGAGATCCACCTGCCTCTGCCTCCCGAGTGCTGGGATTAAAGGCGTGCGCCACCACCGCCCGGCTTTTTTTTTTTAATAATTTATTTAACTTTATTTTATGTGCATTGGTGCAAAGGTGTCACATAAGATCCCCTGGAACTGGAGTTACAGATAGTTGTAAGCTGCCATGTGGGTGCTGGGAATTGAACCCAGGTCCTCTGGAAGAATGTCCAGTGCTCTTAACCACTGAGCCATCTCTCCAGCCCTCTCTTCATTATTTTTTTTAAACTCTTTCTTCATGATCTAAATCCAATCAACATTTTACATTTGTTATCACAATACATATACTGTAATATTTTATAAATCTGTTAACTAAGGCAAGGAGAGCATATAATATGACTAAGATTAGAGCCCATTAGACAGCTGAGATGGGGTGCACAGGTTGTCTGGTTTCAGAGTCTGTTAACAGGGCATCAATTAGCAATTATGACGTAATGAATGAGTCAAGGTAGCAAAGTACAGTGGGACATGCCTTCTGTGCTACGAAGATCCGTGTTTAACAGGCCTATGACTCTAATTTTTGTTTGTTTGTTTCTAATACAAAATGGGTAAAATTTATCTATCTATCTATCTATCTATCTATCTATCTATCTATCTATCTATCATTAAGGTAGGATTTCTCTGTAGTTTTGGAGCCTGTCCTGGAACAAGCTGGTCTCGAACTCACAGAGATCCACCTGCTTCTGCCTCCCGAATGCTGGCATTATTTATAGGTGTGCTCAACCACCATCTGGCCAAAATGGATATAATAGCTGGGCGGTGATGGCGCACACCTTTAATCCCAGCACTCGGGAGGCAGAGGCAGGCGGATCTCTGTGAGTTCGAGGCCAGCCTGGTCTACAAGAGCTAGTTCCAGGACAGGAACCAAAAAGCTACGGAGAAACCCTGTCTCGAAAATAAAAAAAAAAATGGATATAATATTACATAACTTGAAGGTGACAGTATTATTTAAGGGCTTGTCTGTACATGTGATGGAGGAAGGTCATTGGCTAATAAAGGAACTGCCTTGGCCCATTTTATTGGTTGGAAGATAGGTGGGAGGAGTAGGCAGAGCAGGACGCTGGGAGGAAGAGGAAGTGAGCTCAGTCTCGACAGCTCTCCTCTCGGGAGCAGACACCTGAGAGAGACGCCATGCCCCCGTCCCGGGATGAAGCTCCGACCCAGGATGGACTAGGCTAGAATCTTCCTGGTAAGCGCACCTTGGGGTGCTACACACAGATGATTAGAAATGGGCTAAGTTAATATGTGAGAATTAGCCTAGAAAAGAATGGGCCAAGCAGTGTTTAAATGAATACAGTTTGTGTGTTGTTATTTCTGGCATAAGCTAGCCGTGCGGGCGGCTGGGGTGCTGGGGACGCAGCCCCGCCGCCCTTATTACTACATACATGTGTCTGGCAAGTCTATTACTGTCATAAAAATGGTGATTTTGATTGATTTTAAAGAGTTTTCTACTCTATGTACTCAAGCCTCTGAATCTCACACAAAAATTAATGGTGGCACATGCCTTTAGTCTTGGCACTGGGAGGTAGAAGCAGGCAGAGCTCAGTGAGTTCAAAGCCAGCCTGATCTACACAGTGATGCTGAGGACAGTCAGGACTACACATGAGACACTATTTCAAAATAAAAAGAATCCCTAACTTCCCAAGAATTAGAAAGGAGTTATTTTCTCTCAGTATGTGTTAAAATAAAAATATACCCTAACTTTAAATTTTCCTACAAAAGTAGGATTCTACACCTTGGTGTTCCCGACATTTGAGACTGGATCTGGGCTGTGGAAACAAAAGAACACATATGTATCTCTTCTCCAGAATAACTAACAAGTGCTACGCTGGGTATATATATATATATATATCACATACTGAATTATTCTGAAATTATCCTCTATTCAGCCAAATAACTTTAAAACCACTTCAGTATCTATAAAGTCAGACTAAATCTACTTACCTTTAGGGCTGACATTATAGTTTGCTCAGCAGCTGACGGGAAGGCACTCTGACTGGCGACCACCTAGAATAGTTTTGATGCAGTTATGATTTTACTTAAGTCATTTATTTTTGTAAACACTAATTTTGACTTTAATATGACAAAACTTCCCAGAATATACATTAAAATATTAGCACTATTTTATAATAATAATAAATATCTCATACTTGCTTTAAAAATGAATTCATTGAAAACTTTCATGTACAAAGCTGACATTTCACAGGGGGATCATTAGGTATTCACTTTTACTGATAAGATAAAGGTCAGAAGAGTGGTGTATTTACTTATTTCTTTAAAAATATTCACTTTTCTTTAGGCTACTGTTTACATATATAAAGTTCAGATGGTTGCATTTCCAGAAATCAATATAAATATCAATAAGGACATTTAAATTAGGTTGACTAGAACCATACTAATGGCCTCTGGTACAATGGAGAAATGACTAAAGGAAGTGGGATGTGGACCCTGGAACATATCTTCTCATTTTATGTTTCTAAAGCCTACTGCTAAGTCTTGAAAGGGTCTTGCTAAATAGGTCACACTGGCCTACTTCCTGATGCTTCAGCCTTAGCCATCAAGGGCTAAGTATATGCATATGCGATTATACGCATATGCCACCAAACCTGATTTAGAGGTTCAGCACCCTTGGGTCTTCTAAATATTTATCTTTGAAAAATAAAGATAAAGGTTACCTTTGTGACTGCTTGGTGCAACTTAAAGAGGGAATTCACCACGCCTACATTTCTCTTCTGTCCTTCAGTGAGAGGCCCAATCACCTGGCTTGCATCTCCTTGAGTAGAGAGCTGTAAGAATTCAACATATAAAGACATACTAAGATGACGGACTGTATCTTTATTTTTTAACGAGGAGGACATGCATATTCTGCTGACAGAGACAATGTTCAAAGGAAGTATTCATGTCACGTTAAATAAAAATTTAAACTTCAGGTACAAGAAATCTCCATAAAGACAACACCTCAAAGGTAACTTCAATTAGTCTTCTGAAGACCATGTCTTTTAAGACTCACGGTTGATGGACCCTTGAGGTGTGCGTGCTCATTTAACACACACACATTACAGTCACCTCAATGTCACTGGCAACTGTCAACAGGCTATTCTGAATTCAAACACTTAAGTAATTATAAAAGCAAGGAAAGACAGGAGAAAAACCTTATATATATTCAACAGCCATCTTAGTACTCCATGGAAATGAATTAGAGAGAAGGAGCCATCATCTTATTATTCATAGCCTTTTAAAAAGAAATTACCCATGATTATATTATGCGTGATCGGGTGATAAAAAATAATGCTAAAGCTTCCCCTTCCTGATATTTACTTCTAAATACATAGTTTTAGGGGAAGGGATATGGACTGCCTTATTAGATTAATCTCTATCAGTTACAGTTTAGGACTAAGAAAAAAAAAAAACATGCACCAACCATTCTCACGCTGATCCCATTACAACTGAATTCTCTATAACATTATTATCCAAGGCAAACCTGACCAGGACATAACACAGCTTACTGCAGAGCTGGCACAGACCTCTAATACATGGAACTCAGGCTTCTTAGGAGACAGAGCTCTATAATCTAAATGAACCACGAGAAAGCAATTGCTACTTTTTCTTTAGATAAATATATATACATACATACACACACAAGATTAAATTCAACTTCTACTTTTTCAATTTCAATTTGTAATAAAACAGAATTTTAAAAAGTTTTAGCAGTTTTAATTTTTATAAAGGCAATGCTACTTTGTTAAAGTTGTAACCCATAAAACAAGTTATGAAGTCAACCTAAGACCTCTTGACACCAGGTTAAAGAATTCATTTATTTTGACTTACAGCAAGGGCAGATCTCTAACCTGAAAACAGGCTGTGTTCTAATACAATCACATTTAAGTATGTGAAGTGGGGGGGGGGGGGGAATCCTCTTTTCCTATTGTAACTATGTCAAAAACAATCAGCACTCGGAAGAGTTCGCAAATCCCAGTCTGAAGCACAGGTCTTGCCAGAGAGGGCGCAGTGCACTGCAGGTGGGGAACAGTCCTAGGTCCTAGGAGGGCATCTGGGGAGCAGAATGACAAGAGCAAAGTTGGGGGAAGGAGTTTATGCTAAATAGAAATCTCACTATAATGGGCAAGTAAGTCACAAGCTTCAGGGCGTAATGGTATATGTTTGTAGTTACAGCTTCCATGGATGCTAAGGCAGGGGGAGGGCTTCTGTCAGGAGCTAAAGGCCAGCAGAACTTGTCTGAAAAAAGAAAAGTGATGACCTGGAGCTGAACAATTTTTAAAATCGAATCTCTCTGTAATCTCAAATTCACTGCCAGAACACTGTGGCACTCATTCCATTAATAAGGGTTGGTCATTTCGTAAAGTTTTGTAGCTATAGAAGCCCACTTCAAATCCACAAGGAAGCTATACAGAATAATACACCACCACACATTGGCCAGGGTCTGGAGAAAATGAGTGCTCAAAATTGCTCATGGGGTATAAAATAGAGTAACCAATTTGGGGATATTCTAGCAGTTTCTCAAAAGTGAATATAAATCTAACGATGTAACCTGGTCATTAAACCCTAGTTACATACACGAGAAATTAACATGTATATCCATTCAGATGTATGCACACAATCACATGTTCATAGCAATTTCATTCATAAAATAATCTAAAGAAAAACAATCAAATGTCAACCGATGTATAAATAAAATGAATATGCAGACAATCAACATTACTTGACAACAGAAAAGGCACAAAGTTTAGATACATGGCTTATCATGGAGGAATCCTGAAAACATTTTAAGTGGGAGAAGCCAGTCACAATATATCACATAATAAATGATTATATACATAGGAAAAATCCACAAAAATGAGATTGTTAGTTGCACTTAAGTGAGGGATAAGTGGGAATAAGCACTTTTTATGGGGTGAACCTGGGTGTGAATATACTGAAAACCACCAAACTGGACACTGGAATTGCTTAGTCAAATGCCCTAAAGCATATCTTAATCTGCTGGCCTGTTGTGGGTACCCTGTCCCTTTAAGAGACAAGCCCTGCCCACTCCCACCCCCACCCCTTCTACCAAGGCAAGAGGGTTACCGCCCTCCTCCTCTCCAGCCCACAAGCTTGTTCTGCCCCACCCCTCTCTCTGACCTTTAGCTTTGGTTCTCTCTCCCCCCTCTCCTTCTCCCGTTCCTCCCTTTCCCCTTCTAGAACCCACTAAATAAACTCTATACCCTAGCTCTCTCTGTGTGGTGTATCTACTTATCTGTCTGTCTCTCACCCAAGGGGACCCATCTCTTTAGGAATGATAACAAAGGCCACTGTGTCCTCTCTGGCTCTGGGTTATCCCTTCACAACTTTCCTACTCTTCACCTCTTCCTCACTGTCCCAGTGTCTTTTCTTCTCTTAAGATGACTGCTCTAAATACACCAAATTCTCCAATACTGACGTCTACACCCAATTATTCTTTGTTGTGAAGGGCTGTCTCCTGCTTTGCAGAATCCTTGACTTACAACAACTAGGCACTAGCTCCCTGTCCTGGGAAAAAGGAAAAGAGAACAGAAAATCCTCCTTGGCGGAGGACTGGGGGAGAGTACACTGAAGACCCTGTCTTGTCTTCTCATGAGAACTCCAGATGTTCTTATTCAATTTAGTGATAATTCAACCTATTTTCTCTTTCAAATTTAATATGCCCAAAGCCAAAAACTTGATTCTCACCTTCCCCAATCTTGTATCCTTCTTACAGTTTTCTTGTATCTCAGCAAATGGCGTGCCCCACTATGAGCACCCTAGGCTAATAACGTTGCAATTTTTACTCTTTCTATCATTCTCCATGGTTAATTTATTGCCAGTTCCGGCATAGCAGATCCCGTGTTTTTACTCTTGAGGACTAAGGGGATCTCAGTATCTAAAATTACACATATGTGTATACACATGTGCTTGAGGATGTGCATGTGCAAACATGAGCCCACGACAGCAGGAGAGGGTGTCACATACTCTGAAACTGGAGTTACAAATGGTTGTGAGCCACCATGGGGGTAAATGGGAACCAAACCTGGGTCCTCTGTAAGAGCAGTAAGTACTCTTAACCATTAAGGCAATTCTCCAGACCCTCTAATTTCTCTTGTACTTTCCTTCCTTCCCTTCCCTTCCCTTCTTTCCTGTCTTCCGAGACTAGCCATCACTCTGCAGCCCTGGCTGGCTAGAGCTCACTATCATCACAGACTGGCTTTCAGTCTTGCTGCCATCCCCCTGCTTCAGCCTCCTGAGTGTTGAGATTGCAGGCGTAAAACATCACCACATCTGACACAGTAGTATTTCAAGTTAGATTTAGAGTCAACCAAAAATCCCACACAAACTTAATATTAGTAGTAACATTCATATACTGTTGAATTTACGGAGTTTTATTTGTTTAGTTCTGAACAAAAAATGTAATGTATTTCACATGGGTTAGTTCCCTAGTTTTTGCTAGTTTATAGACATGTTGTACAGAATGTCTCAAAGAAGATGCCTTTTGTGTGTTTAGTCAATGACTTGAGAGCTACTATTTTAAACCAGAGTTATTTGAAATGACTAGCCTGCACAAAGGCCCAAAACCAGCACTAAAGTAGGAACAATATGAAATTGAAACTAATAAAACATAAGAAATGTATACACGGACAATATTTTATGCCATACTATGGATGAAAAAATGGTAGAAACCAAAGAAATGTTTGAGTTTCAGATATCTGTCTCTCACTCTCAGACACACATCTAAAAGCTAAACAAATGCTTGAATAATAAAATAACTCCTAAGTAGAAGAAAGAAATAATATTCCTTTTTAAATTTAACTATGAAATATATGTTTCTGAGATTGTAGCTATACGTTACAGTGCAGGAGGAGCAGCCCATGAATTCTGGATGTGGCCAGATCCGCACAGAAAGCTACAGTGGAGCTAGAGAACACACCATCTCCTGTTAGGTTGTGGATGGAATATCCCGAGTTCCCCAAGCACTACTGAATCAGAACAAAAATTGGCAATCAAGGGAAGGACAGCTCAAGGTCCTAGAAAATGTACTGAAAATTACCTGCAGGGAGCACTAAAGCTGACTCAGAAAAATGTCTAAAAAAACAAAAACTAGAAAATGCATCATATAGTTCAAATTATAAAAGATTAATTCTCTTTCTAAATTTCATGGAAATACCAATTAGTAATCTATATGTCCATGTTCTCCATTAATGTTATGGCAATGTCAAGACTACAGGGTAACTTGTTTCGTTCTGTTTTTCAAGATAGGGTTTCTCTGTGCAGCTCTGGCTGTCGTGGAACTTGTCAGTAGACCACACTGGCCTCAAAACCACAGAAGTCTGATTGTCTTTGCCTCCCAAGTACAGGGATTAAAGGTGTGTGCCATTATCGCCTGGCTTACAGGGTAATTTTTTATGTGGCTTTTCCATTATCTTTCTAAACATTTTTCTGTACATTAGAAAACATACAAGAGAAAGTTCATACTAGAATTTCATAATGGAGAACAATGTGGCAGACATACCAATTGACAGTGGTGTCCTGCATAAAAAGTAGAGTAAATACTATATACTCAACACAGGCTCTAAAACTATTAAAACAAGAGTTAATGAACATGCTGTTATACCCTCACTTACTTTTTGTTCAGGAAGTGACGAGTCCGCTTTTCTACTTACCAAGGTAATTTTTAGCTGGACTGTTTCATTGCTACAGTAGTTGTTTTCACTTATGCTCATGCATCAAATGCTTTTATTACAGATCACCCAGCACATATTTGAGACAGAATCCTTTG